CCCCAAAACCCCAAAACCCCAAAACCCCAAAACCCCAATTCACGGTTATTAATTAATTATAAACACATGATATCTCATAAATGGTAGGTTTCAACAGTAGAGGAATACAGCAAATTTTATGTAGTATAAAAGCCAAAGAATAAGCCTGAATAGGCTTTTCCTCTTGTATTGCTTTTTCATGATAAAATCTACTGTGGTAAATTATCTCAGCTATAAAGGGTGTGTTGAATAACCTTAAAATAGGCTAGCAAAATTTTCGAATAACATCCTGTTCAATTCAGCAAGGATGTTCTGTACTCCAAGCAAAGATGCAATTGACTTACTTGACAAAATTCACAGAGAGGCTCCCAAGATCTCTCCCAAAGTTAAGAAGGTGACTAAAGTTGGGATGCCGCAATTCAACAAAGAGGCAGAAGAAATCTCTGAATCGATCACTTTCAAGCACACTCCAAACAAGTTTATGAAATACATGGACACAGGAATGGAGAAGTTCTTCTATCAGAGGGATTACAATAAAGAGAACTTTGATTTCTACCTCCAAGTGCTTAGTTCTCAGTATAAAGTTCAGGAAGCTGAAGGAGCCATGGAGAAAATGAAGCTATTAGGAATTGAGCCTGACCTTGCCACGTATAATCATCTTCTGACCATCTACGCCAAGAGCGGAAACTTAGAGAAAGCAGAAGAAGTCTTTCAACTAGGTAAATTTTAACCTGTGATCTCTTATAGCAAAATCTAAAGGGCTCCACCCTGGTAGAGATATGTATAATGGCCTCATACTTGCTCATGCTAAGCGAGATGAGCCCATAGAAGCAGAAAAGGTTCTCAGAGAGATGGTCGAGGATGAAATTACTCCTGATGTTGTTAACTACACTACAGTTATACAAGCATACCGGAGGACAGGAGATTATGAAAAATGCTGGGAAATTTTCGAGATTGCCAATGAGAAATTAATTCAAGATGAATTCCTCATATCCTTCATGATAAGAATCTGCGCCTCAACACATCAAGCTGAGAAAGCAATCATGCTATGGCATCGACTGCAGACACTCGGATTTGTAGAATATGCTGAACCCTATAATGCGATAATCTTTGCTTTAGCATCAAGGCCAGAATACGCAAGACAGGCTGTTGAAAAATACAGATTGATGCAGAAAAAGAGAGTTGTTCCTGATTACCACACCTTTGTAGCAGTACTTAAAGCATCTAGCCAATATGGAGACATCCAACTTTCGATTGAAGTATTAGACACTATGAAAAATCTCGGATTCGAAATGAACGAATACATATACAATGGCCTCATCAGGACCTATGCAGGTGCATGAACTATCCCAGACATTGAAGAAGAGCAAATAGAGATTTATGTAAAGGATGCCTGGGCTTTATTAGATCAAATGAAGGAGAAGGACATTCCTCTGAACCAGAATATCCTTGATAGTATGGTTTACCTGCACAGAAAAGCTTTGTTCATACCAGAGTTGCATGATAAAGTACTGCCTTTATACGAAAGGCACAACATTGAGCCAACAATCTACACGTACGAGAACCTGATCCAGATATATGCTGACCTAAGCGAGACTGAGCTTGTCTTCGCGACTTACGACCGGCTACAAGAACTTGATCTAAAACCGAACCCAAGTATTCTCAGGATCTACCTTGCAGAGGCTTTTAGATCCAATCACATGAACAGAGTATGTGAAGCTCTTGAGACTTATGAAGAGTTGAAGTTTTTCCCACCAGGCAGGATCATAAACAGTCTGTCAAAGATAGTAAACCCTTCAGATAGGTTATTCGTAGCTCTGAAGAGTATGCCTAAGCAGTACCAAAAGTACCGTGAGAAGATGCGAACCCATCGCTCACCCAATTATGTCACCAAGCAGAGAAAGTACCCCTACCGGATCAGCAGGAAGAGGGTCCATAAGAACAGAAGGATCAAAAGGAAAGGATTTTAAGCAGTTTAGTTTCAACAATTTAGCTTTAAAACTGGTCGGAATAGATTGGGATAACACCTGCTGGGATAAGGCTGCAGAAAGGGGTTTAGGGAAATATGAGAAAGATTAGTGATGGATTAGTAAGCAGATATGTTTTTATTGCACAAGAAGGTCAGTACCTTATGCTGCAATAAGTACTATCGGCAAATTCAACACATCATATATCCCTTGGGGTTTTGGGGTTTTGGGGTTTTGGGGTTTTGGGG